TTACTTCTCTATCTGCATTTTATCTTTTCGAACCTGTATTACAGAATCCCAAGAGTCTGAGTTTACTCTCATCTGAATCCTTTCTTTGAAACAATCGTACCTGCTACTTCTCCACAAGTGGTCCTTGCCCTTTGACCTCTTCTCATGACCCTTTTCACTCGGTCCGAGCTCTAACAAGGAGCACCTGGTGTTTGCTGGTTTGTGGTGTAATGATGTTCTTTCCACTTGTGAATTATTGCCACAACCTTTGCTCACTGGAACATTCCGACGTTTTAAAATATGTCTGTAACTAATGTCCTCAGTATGTTTTGCAACAATGATGTTGCAACGGTCTTGAGATGTTTCTTGGTAATAAGACACATCTTCACATGCCGTCACGGGACCATCAGGTTGTCATTTGCATGTCAAGGGGCAGCAGTGCTTTATTATACGAACATATTTACTGAGTAAAGTGGTGATGTGACTTCCTTTACCTGCTGTGTCGGTGTGACTGGGGAAAGAATGTCTTGTGATGTTAAATCCCTTTGGGAGGTCGGAAGGCTGGAAAAATGTGTCCGTTGCTTGTTTCAACCCGCCAAGGGAATCTCATGGACGCACTAGAGCCGAGATGAGAGAGAAGAACAACCAAAGAGCCTCTTGACTCCTGCTTTTACAGCCGGACCTGATTCAAAACTGGAAGGAATTCTTCCACAAGAGGCCAACACATGGTACCAATCCACAAGGGTGTGTGTGTGTGTGTGAAGTCCTTGTGCCCCGTTGCTCCCGTACTCTGTATGTAGCTGCAGTCTGAGCAGCTCGACCGGTGTGTCCATGTCTAACCATGCAAACGGGATGTGCAGGTTTAGTGATGTCAGTGGTTTGCATGTGTCTTGGTGTTTCAGTGGGCAAGACGATGGAGACCATGGAGGAGACCACAGCTGTTTCTGAGGTGAGCGAGGCGTTTCCTTTAGGTTGCATACAGCCTGATGTTTTATTGTGTGATGCATACAAACCAAAGTCTAATTGGCTGTGACAAACATTTGCATATCTGTCACACGTAAATGTTTCAGCTCATCAAACTAATTGTAATACTATAGAAAATTAGCCCGGCTAAATACAGAATACAGTTAATGATTTCATTTCAAGTGAAAACAGCAACCAAAATGTGCGTATGTGTTTAGATTAAAACTATTGGTATTACAATGTAATTTGATTTCCAATTTGACAGTGAATCACTCTTAATTGTTTATCTTGATTTTTGCAACTGAAATAGATAAATGTTTATTAGTATTCAGCTTTCTTTGATAACTTGCAGAAACCCCGTAGTCAGTTCGCAGTCTTTGTGTGGTGGTGACCAGGAGTCCGTTCCCACGAGGAAACCAAGTGGGTCCTGGAGTCATCAAGCAGCCTGGGGATCAACTGTACATGCTGTAAGAAAACGCAACCTCGTCTCTCTTAGTCTTAAATAAATAGTTTGTTTTTTTTATTGCGCTTTGCTGGGAAACCCCAAAGACGCTTTACAATGTAAATCTAAGTAAGAGAAACATACAGATAAGAGAAATAGAAGTAGAACCGGAGAATGAGTCATGTAGTGGCTTGCGTTTCCCTTCAAGCCACAGAACCCGAGTTACCTGAAACAGAAAACACTGGAAAGCCTTTTCACAGCCAGTGTGAGCTTTATTCTAAGCCGACTGAGAGCACGCACGACGCAAACAAACATCTGGAAGGATTCAGCCAAACAACTTCTCTCCTTCTGGTAGATTTATTAGTCAGATCACAGGTCAAGTATCAGCGCTGCATTTGCAGGAGCCGTTCTGTCGCCCGCGGGCCAGAGGAACAACGGCCGACATCAGGAAGAACTTTATGCTTTATATTTCTTGTTAGAATCGGCCCTAAACTGGCGTGGAGGAGGAGCAGGTCCTCTCGCCACAACACGAGACCAATCACATGCAGTGTGTGGTCTCCTAACATGTGAATATAAGGAACAAGGCGTGAGTGTGGTGCTTGGTGTGTCTCTAGATCTCATCCTTATCAGACCTGCTTTCCCTCTGACCTTGACCTCCTCAAGACAGTGACTCCCTAAACAAGAAAGAGCTTTTGATTATCAACTCCCCCTTTTACATAAAGTCAACCACTAAATCAATAATAACTAATATAGAGGTGAAAAACTGATATCAGTGGGTATGTGTGAATGTGTTAATCATGGAAATCCCTTAAGAACACAAGATTATTTTCTATCATCTACCATCTATTATACAGAACTAAAAGGAAAAAGCTAGTACATTCATCTTGTGTTTAAACCCTCACCTCACTCTACTGGATCTCTCCTCTATTTAGCTTTTCATTTAAATCCTTAGTGTAACTGTGCAGACGCTGAAGACACTTTTAATCAGGGCTATAAGTTGCTGCTTCAACAATCTGAAGGAATCCTTGTCAGGATTGATCAGGTGACCAGAAAATACCTGCAAAACACGTGATGTTGCTTGGTGTCTTGTGGATGTGTAGGTGGCCGATGGTTGCTTTACCTCAGCAGCTGTCAAATGAAACCTCCCTCCATGTCTCCAAGGGTTCAGTTCCCCACATCACTCTGCTGGCATCTGGGGGAGGCCAGCGGGCCGCCGTCGGACTGATGGGATCGCTCTACCAGATGGAAAAGGACGGTCTGCTGGACAGTTTGCTGTATTTGGGAGGAGTTTCTGGGTCCACATGGTAACAATATTCACACTTAAATGTGTGTCTGTCATGTGTGTATCAAGGAGACCTGAACAGATGCACAAAAACAGCACAAACTTTCAATTCAATATTCAACAGAAAAACCGGAATAACAGAAGTGAATCAAAATGAAAATCAATCATAAGATTGTTCTGGTACATTAAATGAAAAGTGCAAAATCATCAAGAGAAAAAAAGTTACCAACGTCATCTGGGGAACTAGAGCTTAGGAAGTACCAGTTTAACAACCCCTCTCCCTACTCTCACTCTCACTACTCGACTACTTTCTCACGCTCACTACTCTAATACTCTCTCTCTCACTACTCTCCCTCTCTCTCTCTCTCTCTCTCACCACTCTACTACTCTCTCTCACTACTCTACTACTCTCCCTCTCTCACTACTCTACTACTCTCACTACTCTACTACTCTCACTCTCACTACTCTCCCTCTCACTACTCTCCCTCTCTCATTCTCACTACTCTACTACTCTCCCTCTCACTACTCTCCCTCTCTCACTCTCACTACTCTACTACTCTCCCTCTCACTACTCTCTCACTATTCTACTACTCTCTCTCTCCCTCTCTCACTCTCACTACTCTACTACTCTCTCTCTCACTACTCTCCCTCTCTCCCTCTCACTACTCTACTACTCTCTCTCTCACTACTCTCCCTCTCTCACTACTCTACTACTCTCCCTCCCGCTACTATCCCTCTCTCACTCTCACTACTCTCCCTCTCGCTACTATCCCTCTCTCACTCTCACTACTCTCCCTCTCACTACTCTCCCTCTCTCAATCTCACTACTCTACTACTCTCTCTCTCTCACTCTCACTACTCTACTACTCTCTCTCACTACTCTCCCTCTCACTACTCTACTACTCTCACTACTCTACTACTCTCTCTTACTACTCTCCCTCTCTCTCTCTCTCACTACTCTCCCTCTCTCTCTCTCACTACTCTACTACTCTCCCTCTCACTACTCTCCCTCTCACTACTCTCCCTCTCACTACTCTCCCTCTCACTACTCTCCCTCTCACTACTCTCTCACTCTCACTATTCTACTACTCTCTCTCTCCCTCTCTCACTCTCACTACTCTACTACTCTCTCTCTCACTACTCTCCCTCTCTCCACTCTACTACTCTCTCTCTCACTACTCTCCCTCTCACTACTCTCTCACTATTCTACTACTCTCTCTCTCCCTCTCTCACTACTCTACTACTCTCTCTCACTACTCTCCCTCTCTCCACTCTACTACTCTCTCACGCTCACTACTCTAATACTCTCCCTCTCACTACTCTCCCTCTCTCCCTCTCACTACTCTCTCTCTCTCAATACTCTCCCTCTCTCTCTCTCAATACTCTCACTCTCACTACTCTACTACTCTCCCTCTCACTACTCTCCCTCTCACTACTCTACTACTCTCTCTCTCACTACTCTCCCTCTCACTACTCTCCCTCTCACTACTCTCTCACTCTCACTATTCTACTACTCTCTCTCTCCCTCTCTACTACTCTCTCTCTCACTACTCTCCCTCTCTCCACTCTACTACTCTCTCTCTCACTACTCTCCCTCTCACTACTCTCTCACTCTCACTATTCTACTACTCTCTCTCTCTCCCTCTCTCACTCTCACTACTCTACTACTCTCTCTCACTACTCTCCCTCTCTCCACTCTACTACTCTCTCACGCTCACTACTCTAATACTCTCCCTCTCACTACTCTCCCTCTCTCCCTCTCACTACTCTCTCACTCTCACTATTCCACTACTCTCTCACTACTCTCCCTCTCTCCACTCTACTACTCTCTCTCTCTCACTACTCTCCCTCTCACTACTCTCTCACTCTCACTATTCTACTACTCACTCTCTCACTACTCTCCCTCTCTCCACTCTACTACTCTCTCACTCTCACTACTCTACTACTCTCTCTCACTACTCTCACTACTCTCTCACTCTCTCACTCTCACTACTCTACTACTCTCTCTCACTACTCTCCCTCTCTCACTCTCACTACTCTACTACTCTCTCTCTCTCACTACTCTCTCTCTCACTACTCTCCCTCTCACTTCTCTCCCTCTCACTACTCTACTACTCTCTCTCTCTCTCCAATCCCAACGTTTCAAAAAAGTAAAGGCCCATTCGAGGGAATTCTTACCATAATGTTTGATGAGGCCTATCAATTAATAACTTCTTAGTTTGAAGGAGAAACATTCTGTCCCCTCACCCAATTCCATCATTTCAAAGTAAAAGCCTCAATTATTATCTGTACCTTAACCATTAAGCTCAGGATGATGTTTTGTTGAAATACTACTACTATTACTGCTTAATAGCAGTATTAATTATTAATATAGTATTAATATACTAAAATGACTCTACTATAAGGAAACGTTTTAGGAATAAACCTAGCAAAAGAAGAAGTAGTCACAGAACACTGCGTACGTGCATACAAGCTGACTTTCCTCTTTGTATAACGACTATGGCAGTTACTTTACAATTCACCCTTTTGATTACATAATAATCACACTAAACAATGTAAAATAACCGTCTGGAAAAATAAAAACTGAAGATAAACTTGGACAAACAATGGGATATGAAAAACTACAAAAGTCAAATCTCTCCCACATGCTCTCAGAATGGTCGTTGGAGATATCAGGGCTGTCTGAGTCGGGGAGTTGGTCCGTATCAGAGTCGGAGTGATGTCCACATCTGGTTCTTAGTTGGAGGTTTGGGAATGGACATGATGGTCAGTAGAGTGTGTCTTACCCGCACTGATGATGTCGTGTCCCAAGAAATGAACCTTTTGAGTGACGAATTGAGACTCTGTCATGCTGACTTTGTCTTTCTTTGGCCAAGGGAAATAAGAGTTTTACCATGTCTAATTCACAAGTGCTTTTATCACGGGAGGCAATCAGAAGGTGGTCATCGTACTGGAGAAGGGCTGTCTCCGGGGAAAGGGTTAAGCTCTGAAGGCTTTGCCTAAGTGCTTCATTGTAGATGGTAGGTGATTCAGTATAACCTTGGCACAGACGTGTAACAGTGTATGGTTTCCCCTCAAAACTGACTTTCTATGTCCACAGGGTCACTAGGAAAAAGCAGAAAAGCAGGAAGCATCTGAGGGTACCTGGGCCATAATGCTGTATGGATTATTACTGCTTTGTACAAAACGCCATTCCATCGGTTTACCTGTGGCGCGTATTTTCTTTACTGGGAAAATGGGTGTTCGAACAGGAGAATCCGGACATGGAACAATAACTCCTGTTCAATACAGATTCAAACACAGGTGTTATTCCGTCAATCGCCTCTTGAGGCCAGGGACATCGGTGGTGATATCAGATCTGCCAGTAATAACAGGTTGACAATTCTTGATCAAACCAACGTCGTACTGTGTTCGGCCCACAAAGAAACCCGGACAGGACGCAGAGCCGGAGAGATCGAGGAAACATCAGCCAGAAACGTGTAGTCAGACAGTGACAAGTGTCCGCTACATCCATAACATAAATTGGTCCTATTGCAGGAGCCGCTGGAATCAGAACGTATCTCAGTGGGCGCATTGTGTAGTAATGTCTGCATATACACACATTCATACATGCATTTTGCCAGCAGTTGAGCTTTCATCCATGATTAATGGTTGGTTCTCTACCTGGTCTTGTGTTGGACTGATTTAAAAGGAATGCTTTGATTGTTCCATTTGGCTGAAGTTTTTACTGTACTTTTGTCCACTGACAGGTCCATGTCGTCCATCTACGATGACCCACAGTGGAGCACCAGCATGGACAAAGCAGTGTCCCGGCTGTCAGGCCCTGGGGTTAAGCTGGAGGACGCTTTGGCCTGGTTGGGTGAGAGGGCAAAGGAGGAGCACTTCTCTCTCTCTGATATCTGGGGGGTGTTGACCTCTGCTGGGATAATGAAACAGGTACCAGGACCAACACGCACGCTTTTACTCATACAACCCATTTCAAATGCATCACACTCATTACAGGACATTTTGTTTTACCAGATGAACAAGCGGCATCTTTCGGATGAGGCCAGCAGAAATGCCACCAACCCTTATCCCATTTACAATGCCATAGAGAAGCACTGCTTCTCGCATGGTCCTACAGAAGGTACACCCTCATGCGACCAGGTCCCATTCGGGCTGTAGAAAGTTGTTATCCCTTATTATCACACTGCCTGCTGGAAGCTGCATGAGGGCAGTTCAATGTGACAGTTGCTATTGACATGTTAAAAACATACTGTGTCTTTTAGGAAAATGGTTTGAGGTTAGTCCTCATGAGGCCGGATTCACAGATTTGGGTTTCTTCATTGAAACTTCTCTTCTGGGCAGCAAATTCGAGAACGGAGAGCTGTTGGAAAAAAAGCCAGAGATGGATATGATCAAACTACAAGGTCAGAATCAGTGACCTAAATATGTGCACAATTTAGGACATCTCACTTTGACTTCACCCTGACTGCAAAGACATAGAAACAGCTATAAATAAGGACAACAGGTGAGGTAAATAATAGCAAAGACTCAGTAGTGAAGAAAGAAAAAGCTCTTTTGATTGATTAAACACACGCCAGGTTTTCTGTAGGTTGGGAACAACAGAAATAGTGTACGTGTGGACGGGAACTTAAGGGGAGAACAGGCCCAATACGTTACATTGTCATTTAGCTGATGCTTTTATCCAACGCGACTTACAACAATAGGAACCAATGCCACCTTGGGAAATGCACACGAGGGATTACGGACCTTAAATATTGTTACACCGATTTGTTTCTGACACAAAATTAACCAAATATGTATCTAAAGTAATAGAAAATAATCAAATATGCAGGGATTGACGCTTCAGCTATGGAAATAAAGAAGTAAATAACAAATGATAAAAATAACTCATCTTTTATAATAATGAATATTTCAGAAAATATTTTGAGAATTCTATCCCCAAAGATCTGACATATTGTCAGAATTGGCATTTACTTAGATTTTTTAGTTCTCCTTATTTTCATTTTCACAACAAATCACTGGGAAGAAAACGGCTACAAATTCATTGTGATGTTTACATATTGAAAAATATGCAACTCAACATGGACATGTGTACATCGACTTCTGTAAGATGTACTTGCTCTTTATCAAATTCTGATTTGACATAAATTATGATAATTGAAATATAGAATCAATCATAGATCATCATAGAATCATCTTTGAACAGATTTAAATTAAAATAAAAGTGCATTGTGCTGATCATGCATGTTTTACCTAAATATTTACATGCACACCTATTGTTTCCCTACTTTTATACATAGCAGTCCTGTCTATTCTTTTGTCTAGCTCTTTATTTAATTATGTTCATTAACATTTGGGGGTATATTTGTCTGCAGGTGTTGATTCTATAGATTGATTCATGCTACACAATTGTCCCACTGCGTTTGTGTTGACACCGTGCAGGTGTTCTAGGTAGTGCGATGGCTCATGAGGATACGATCAGAGGGCTCGTCCCTCCCTGGCTGAATGGTAATCACAGTTTGACACGTCTCACAGACTAATGAAGCCACTGTAGGCATAACTATCGTGTGTGTGTGTGTGTGTGTGTGTTTGTTTCAGTGTCTGGACATGTAGATGGTGCTGCTGAAGATTACCTGCGTGTATACAATGCCCTTGAGAAACTAGTTGCCCTGACCAGAAGCACCATTAAGGATCCTGAAGCTCTGTCTGACCTCGACGAGCTACAGCAAATACTAGGAGGTAGTAGCAGTTATGACCCTGCTACCATCATTTAATATCAAATTGTTTCACTAGCTGCCAGCTCATCTGCAAGATTGCAGCTACTGTTACCCTGAAAAGAATTTCATCCATGTTCACATTTTCTTCATTTAAACAGTTTTTTGCCTGTGATGAAACGATTCCACACAGGCTAAAGTACCACGGGGTCCACTCCACTTTTTGTCTTTTCCAGACAAGCTGAAACATAACGAGTCTGCATGGCTGGAGCCAGAAGGTTCAGAGCAAAGAAGAAGTGTTTTCCAGCAGAGCAGTGAGGAGCTGCTGGCGTCTGTGGCGACCTGGAGCGAGAGTCTGAAGGACGGAGCTTTCAAAACACATGGTCAGCGCTGCCACTGTGTCCTGCCCAGAGTGCTGCACAAACAGACCCATGGGAACATCTTTTAAAAAGTCTCTATATTGTTTTCTAATGTTTTTCCCCCCAGTCTCTCTGCTTACTAAGAAGGTCCTTCCCAAGATTATGACATGGGAGTGGGGAACAACCAGGAATTTCCTTTTCCAATACCAAGGTGAGACCAAAAACATTCATCACTAGTTTGATATTCTGGATAATATGTTTAGTAGCTTTCTGGTCGACAGGAGGTTCAAAAGCAAACGCCATGTGGTCATTCGGTACAGCACGCTTCTTTTGGGGGTTTTTGGCACGGAGAAGAATTTCCTTCACATTACATGTCATTTAGCTGACGCTTTTATCCAAAGCGACTTACAAGAAACAAGAAAGTGCAATTTCATCAAATAATCCAATTTACTATTGATAAGTCACATTATAAGTACATTGTAAGTGCTACAGTCAGTTGTTGTTTTAGTGTCTTTAGTCTGAAGATGTGAAGGCTCTCTGTGGTCCTGATGTCTTCAGAGACCTCCTTCCACCATTTAGGAGCAGGACAGCAAAGAGTGGAGATCTAGTCGAGTGTTTTGCTCTCAGTGAGGAGGAACAAGCAGTTTATCACATGCAGAGCGGAGAGTACGGGTCGGGATGTCGGGTTGGACCAGGTCCTGGATGTAAGCTGGACCCCATCCATTCACAGCACGGTACGTGAGCACCAGTGGTTAGAACTGGATGAGCCACCGGTACCAGTGAAGAGAGTGGAGGAGTGATGGAGAACTTAGGAAGGTTAAAGACCATTATTCTCTTATTTTATACTAACCCATAGCCTTATTGTACTAACCCATTGCATTAGCATTTCATTTTATTTTATTACTTGTGCACTGCTGTCTTGTCTATTGTTACACTGTCTACTGCCACGCACCAACCGCCAAGACAAATTCCTGGTATGTTTGACATATTCCTGATTCCTGACCAGTGGAGCTGCTGCATTCTGGATGAGCTGCAGAGGTGGAATGGTGGTAGCAGGAGACCTGCAGGAGAGAGTTACAGTAGTCCAGGAGGGAGATGACAAAAGCCTGAATCAGTACCAGGGCAGCCTTCTGAGTAAGAAGGGAACGTGTTCCCCTGATGTTGTAGAGCGAGTATCTACAGGATCGTGTTGTCGCAGTGATGTTGGGAGTCAGGGAGAGTTGGCTGTCGAGTGTCACGCCGAGGTTCCTGCAGTCAAAGTGGGCGTTAACACGGAGTTGCCAAAGTTGACAGTCAAGTCCTGGGTCGGAGAGTCTTGTCCTGGAAAAGCAGTAGTTCAGTCTTGTCAGGGTTTATTTTCAGATGGTGGGCGGACATCCACTGAGAGATGTCAGTCAGACTGGCAGAGGTCCGTGCCGGCACCTGGGTGTCCGAGGGAGGGAAGGAGAGAATTAGTTGGGTGTCATCGGCATAGCTGTGAAGCCATGTGAGTGAATGACAGCGCCGTGAGAGTTGGTGTAGAGCGAGAAGAGGAGGAGACCCAGGACGGAACCCTGAGGAACTCCAGTAGTAAGAGGACAAGGTTCCGACACAGAGCCTCTCCAGGTTACCCAGTAGGTGCGGCCATCGAGGTAGGACGAGAGAAGGGAGAGAGCAGAGCCTGAGATACCTGAAGGGAGGAGACAAGTATCTGGTGGTTGACTGTGTCAAATAGAGCAGAAAGGTCAAGAACATTTGACTCAAATGTTCTAAAACTAGCTCTTCATACCTTTTAGTTTTAATAGATGTTCAACAAACAAATCTTGTTTGGATGAGAAGTGCTGTGGGAAGTTGTTGTGACCAGTTCTGTGTTTTTGGGGAATATGCCTTCAGTGGTTCAAATCAGTGTTTTTAGAAACTATTATTTCATAATTTAGACACGAACACACCTCAAAATGAGAGATCTACATCTACCAGATGTGTAAATAGCACTTTCTTAATCATGCACATGGTCTCATATGAAAACATTGTATTTGATATACAATAATGAAGAAAATTATTATTATTATTAATAAGTCAAAACAAGGTTTGTTGAGGTTTCGTTGAATCGATTGAACAGATTCAGTGGTGCCAACCTGCCTCCAATCCCATGAAAGATTCCACCTGATAGACGCTGGGCTGATGATAAACGCACCCTACCCTTCATTTTTGGGAGAAAAGAGGGACATTGACCTCATCATTGCACCAGAGTACAGCGCTGGAACCATGTTTGAGGTATGCGCATGTGCATGTGTAGGATTGAGTGAGTGTGTTGTCCTTTTGATGTTGTTGATGGAGTAAATATGACACCCTTTGTAAGTCTCTGTTCTTGGAGAGGGATCCTTTCTCAATTATTCTCTCATGTTTCCCCAGTAAAAGTTTTTCTTTTATTAATTTTGCCTGATCAGATGCAAGGGTCCAAGGACCGGCTGTTGTCTGCTGTACAGATTGTAAAGGCCCCTGAGGCGAATCAGTGATAATCCTCTCCATACGTAAAAGGACTTCACGAGTTGACACTGTCAGCACTAATACCATATATGGGCCTTTCACCACATGCCAATCAAATCAAAGCTTTCTAAATAATAGTTTTTAAAAAGTGTTAAAACCCATTAGTTATTAGTCAGTCGTGCGTGGTGCTTGATTACCACTTCTAATCCCAACAGGTATCTCATTTAGGATGTGCGATCTGCGGAAGCGTTCCAGAGGGGAAGTGGTGAAAGCTGTGACGTAACGTTCCTTTTTTCTCCTTTTGAAGACTCTGACCTTTGCCAGAGACTATGCAGCTGAGATGCAGAAGCCTTTCCCACAGATAGACGACAGAATCCTGCAGGAGAGAGATTGGCCAAAGGACTGCTACGTGTTTGAGGGGAAGGAGAACGAGGCCTCGATCGTTTACATGCCACTCTTTAACAGACGAAACTGCAAAGGTCTGTCACACACATATGCAGATTTTCATCACTTTTCCCCTCAGAAGCAGAACGGCTCTTTGGGTGAAATATCACCATGATTCTTTGAGCCAACAAGCAAATACAAATATGTACAATACTGTGCTAAAATGTTTCCATTTAACCGGACTTTGATGTACAGGGGCTGCTCAAAGATGTTGAGTTTTGGCCCATTTGTGACACAGTGACAAGGAATTGAAGCCTGCAAGGAGCGTGCTTTGGGGGCGAGGAGCATTCCTTGGTGAAGGACTTCTTTTTAAAATAAACTCGTACCATCGGCTCATTGGAGATGATCTCGTTCTGCGTAGAATCGATCACCGACGACCAATGTCTGACTTGACAAGTTCACGGGAGCTACTGGCATGTAAAAGCTCAGCTGTTTCCATAACAATGGTTAATAATAGGAATATTCATAACGCAACCCCACATCTATTATAAACATAGTTTTAATGCGTGATATGGTTGTACTTTATTTGATTACAGATCATAATAAATTGCAATTATGGGAACTACAGTAGCATTTATAGTGGATTCTTGTAACTAAGGAGGCGGAGAACAAACCCTGATCTTCTCATTGGAGCCCCAACCAGTGTTCACTGCTTTATTGTAGATGCAGAGGAGGTCAAAGCAAAGATGGAGGAGTTCTCCACATTCCAGGGTCCCTTCAGCCAGGAGAAGATGGAGTTTGTGATGGAGACGGCCAAAGCCAACATGAAGAACAACAAGGAAACTCTGCTGGAGCAGATCCACAAGGCTGTGCTCCACCGCCAGAGGAAGAGCTGATGGGACACTGCTTTTATCGTTCCAATGAGGGGAAATAAAATACCAACCAAAGGCCGGTACATAGATGGGGAATTAATGTTACCAAATGTAAAGAACTTTAAATCATAATCCAGACTAAAGTTTAACAGACAAATGCAAAAATGGACCGCTGTCAATAACTAATGTGTGAGATTTATAATACCACTGTGTCATTAGAACTTGATATGTCTGAATATAATAAAATGTGTATGTTCTGCTAAATGAATATGTTACCGATCTATTTTCATGCTGTGTGTGGCAATATTTTAAACTTTCTTTTTTAGCTATAGCCCCATGAAAATAGAAGAAAAATACACGATATATGGTATGTTTGCTTCTTAAATGAAATAAACAGGTAATTACATAAACATTACATGCATCCGTCTCATTAACCCATATAATAAAGTCATAATATGACTAAATGTTCGCACGTCATCATGTCGCTTGTCATCCTCTGAGAACATCTGACCTGCTGCTTCCAGAGGAAGTCCCCCTATGCCGGCGCTAGATGGCGCACAACCTCCACAGCGTGTTTATGTGGGTCAATGCAACCAGCTGCCCATTGGCTGGATGGAATTATTTTTATATACACAATGAATGCCTTCATGGTGGATTTAGCTGGTCAGATTAGACTTAATGAAGTTAGTGAACCGGACGCTGTTAGTCTCGGTCGTTTTAGTAACTTTGCTTTATTCGTTTCTGCTGAAGCATGACTTCATTGCTCCTGGTGTCATTTTAAGCAATGCTTTCTTGATAATAATCCCCTGTGGCGTTTCGTCTCTTGCCTCATGTGGACAGGATTCTGTCCTGGTACCGTACCGTGGGTATGTTGTCTCTCGTCAGTGAAGTTGCCTGATGCGCTTCGAGCATCCATCCTCACCCAACCTGCAGAGAGGAAGCAGAGGCTCCCTGCACGGAGCGACAGCTGGAAAGCCTCGGCGGCGGATACGTACAGAGACAGATGTGTGACCTCCTGTGAGGCTTCAGACCATCTGGCGTGGACGGAGAAGAGAGGAAGCATGTCCGAAGTTGCTTTTTCAGCTGCAGGGCATAAGCATGACATGGAGGAATAATGCATCTCGTTTGGGATTTATCTGTAATCCTGCAAACATTTTTAATCTGCACGTCATCGGGTAAGGTTCCAGGAAGGAAATATACAGAATATGATGCAGTAATAGCTTCTCATTGAATGGTCATTGAATAAGATAAATATAATCTAATTGAAGTGATATTTCTACTTGTTAAGTCCCTACAGTAGACACCTGAGCACACCTGCCAGGGTAATGATGTACTTGTTGAAATGTACAGCCCATCATCTGCTTGATGAGATGAATGCCTCTAAACTCACACGTAATAGTCAGCTTTTTTATCTGCAGTGTGTCATGCATGCAGATGCACTCCGAGGCAGATAGAAGTAGTAGCCTACAGTACACACAAAGACTGAGATCACATCCATTTACTCACATACTCTGGCTTCATCTGCACACCAGAAGCTCCAGTATCTGAACTTGGGCTGAGAGGGATGTGGTGTATTGCCATTAGACAGTAAAATACACTCGCTATGACACCTTTGTGGCAGATGCTTTGAGCACCAGGTTTAGAAGCCAACAATGTAATTTGCACCCGGCCGATGTGGCTTTCACACATGCGTGTGTTGCCAACGCGTTTTCCCTCCCAACGCGTGTTCTGTGACCCGGCTGCACGTTTACAGACACGCTCATCAGGTCAATGACAAGATTTTGCTGCCTTTGACTACTTCTAAAATGACTTTCAGCAAGCTAATCACTGCTAGAGTAAGTAGCATATTCAACTCATGTCACATCTCAAATAGCTGTTGCTGTGAGTATAATATATATATATATATATATATATTGGATGGAAATGGAGCTCCAGCACTGGTATCAAGAAACACACAGGACACCCTGCAGGAGGAGAGGGACCAAGCATCCCACACTGGAAAGCTTCATTACAAAAGTTAATTCAGTTCATTCGGACGTAGAGCGCCCGTCCACCTGCAACAACCTCTACCCCATAGTTTCAGTTGGCATGAATATAAATTTGATGAAAGTCCCATCATGACTCCAATTGTATGACTACATCCTCGCCCTCTGTACAGTGCTCCTAAGAATCCTGCTGTCATTTGTTATTAATTAAAAGACCCGGTTAATGCCAAGGGTTAAGTCAATCACTGTTCTAGTATCTGTCTTTAATCACACAGAGCAATCACACGACCAAAGCACCACGTTTGGTTGATAGAAGAACTGATTCTCTCTTTGTTTCTCTTTGCAGCCCAGCCTCTTACAGCTAAGCTCGATGCAGGTTGGTGGGCGTATAAGGACGTTGTCCACGGCAGCTTTGTTCCAGGTAACGGTGTCGTAATCGACAGTATTTATAAATGCTATGGAAAGTGTTTGGCCGACAAGAGTTAATTGCGCAATTTGTATTCCCAGTTGTATTCCCAAGTTATATTCAGTATAAAACAGGTCCCCTGGAGAGGGAAACAATGAGGCCACCCCAAAACAGGATTGGTTTTGCATGTGGAGGCCAATTCAAGTCTGTCCCTCTTGATCTTGGACTTGTTGACTGGTCTTGTTTTTCCACCAGCTACTAAAGAGTCATTATCACTTCTGGGAATATGAGGCAATTTCTTAACCCTACAGAAGTGTGACGTGTCTCCCAGAACATTCAATTCAATTCATTTTATTTAGTAAAGCCCATAATCGCAAATTACAAATTTGCCTCAGAGGGCTTTACAGTCTGTACACATACGACATCCTCTGCCCCGAAACCCTCCATCGGCACAGGAAAAACTCCCCAAAAAATGACAAAAACCTTCCAAGAGGGAAAAAAGGGAAGAAACCTTAGGGAGAACGTCAGAGGAGGATCCGTCTCCTGATGGACAGACTACAATGATGTCATGTGTACAGAATGAACAATGTATAATACATGAGACTATATGACAGAAATGATTCAAGTAACTGAGTAGTAAACCAGACGCACAACAGGACCACTGCAGGGACCACCACCATCACATAGAACCACCATCACATAGAACCACCATCAGATAGAACCACCATCACATAGAACCACCATCACATAGAACCACCACCACATAGAACCACCATCAGATAGAACCACCGTCACATAGAACCACCATCACATAGAACCACCATCAGATAGAACCACCATCACATAGAACCACCATCACATAGAACCACCATCACATAGAACCACCATCACATAGAACCACCATCAGATATAACCACATCACATAGAACCACCATCAGATAGAACCACCATCACATAGAACCACCATCAGATAGAACCACCGTCCACAGAAGCCTGTGGGGAGGGAGAGCACAGAGACTTTAGGAGAGGGTAATGTTGGTTTACGAGTACAATAATATAATTAATATCTAAAATAATAATAATAATGATGATGACGATGATGGCAGCAGCAGCAGGCGTCAGCAGGGCCACGGTAGGTGTCAGGACCAGGGTCCCGAAGGAACCACGATCTACGGAGACCTGATAGGGGTGAAAGCACAAAAAAAACTCCCAGAAAGAAGCAGAATTAGTCATGTGCATTAATAAAACGTGAATTATGGTAGAACGAGAGCGTGAGAGAGGAGCTCGGTGTGTCCTAAGAAGTCCCCCGGCAGTCTAAGCCTATAGCAGCTTAACTAAGGGCCGGTCCGGACTAACCTGAGCCAGCCCTAACTATAGGCACAATCAAAGAGGAAAGTTTTAAGTTTTACTTTAAAAGAGCTGACCGAATCTGCCCCCCGGACTGAAAGGGAGCACCTCTAAGAGACCAGGACAGGGCTGTAGAAGGTCCTCAACCCATCAGCAGGATCTGATCTGACACTGCTTATCTCCTGCTTTGTGCAAGGAGGAACAGGTTGAGCGCTGCCCGAGGCCTGCAGAATGACCTCCAGCAGGCCACAGGTGTGAATGTCAGAGCACCAGAATCGGCATGTCCGCCATGGCGCCCATGTCGCCCTGTGCTTCCCACAGATGAGCGCATGTTCCCCCTGAGCTCCTGTGATAGACGTGAAATGGCTTGGAAAAGCCAAGGAGAACGTATGCTGCTTGCAACATGGTTTGGTGGTGGTCAGTGATGATCTGAGGAGGGATTAGCGCTGGTTAGCGCTGTCCCCTCACAGCAAGAAGGTCCTGGTTCCACTCCGCCCAGTGGCCTTTCTGTGTGGAGTCTGCATGTTCTCCCCGTGTCTGCGTGGGTTCTCTCCGGGTTCTCCGGCTTCCTCCCACAGTCCAAAGACATGCTCTGGGGATCAGGTTGATTGGGGACTCCAGCCCCCCTGCGACCATGTGTGCAGGATAAGTGGTTTGCAGATGGATGGATATTACTGGACATTTGTGCGGCTGACGTCACTACACCAGCTATATTGTAATCGTAATCCCCGTCAAATTCAAAGTCAAAATGCCGGCGGTGTTCACCGACATCACAGATTTGAGACGAGTTTTACAAAGCTGTGATCGATGTCTTCTCAATCAATCAATTAATCAAACGATTGGTGAGTCAGAAACTATTTTTTAATAGATGGAAGTGTGGTTGAATGAATGCGACTACAAGCTGTTTGCCTTCATATTAAATTGAGCAGTGTGTGTTTTCATTGTTGCTGACTGCTGACTATAACTAACAAACCTCCCTCATTGACTAACTCTATACCGGCTCGTCGCAATATTCGCTCCCTCTCTCCCTCCTCGCTGGCATCTTCTGTTCTATCAGCTCTCCCTTCAACTGACTCCTTCTCACTCTTGCATCCAAACGCTGCTGCAGAGTCTCTCCTCTCAAGTCTTTCCTCCTCTCTAGACTCTCTCTGCCCTCTTACGACACGACGGACTGGCAAATCCCCTCCGGCTCCGTGGCTGTCTCAACCGGTCCGTGCCATGAGAGCCACCATGCGAGCGTCGGAAAGGAAATGGCGTAAATATAAACGACCTGAGGACCTGCTCGAATTTCAATCTCTCCTCTCCTCGTTTTCTGCTTCTATCTCTGCTGCCAAAAGCTCCTTCTACCAATCCAAAATCGAATCCTCATTCTCTAACCCCAAAAAACTCTTCTCGATCTTCTCCAATCTCCTCGAACCTCCTACCCCTCCTCCCCCCTCCACCCTTCTTCCGGGAGACTTTGTCAACTACTTCACCAAGAAAATAGCTGACATTACGCTCCTCCTTCTCAAACCCACCTCCTACTTCTCGCGTCCCACCGACCTCACCTCTTTCGCCCTCACTTTCCTCTTTCACCGCCCTCTCTCCTAACCAAATTCTTACCCTAGTAACCTTTGCCCGTACGACCACCTGCCCTCTTGACCCCATTCCATCACATCTTCTACAATCTATTGCACCCGACCTTCTTCCGTTCCTCACCTGTCTCATCAACAACGCTCTGTCATCTGGCTGTTTTCCCAATTCTCTGAAGGAGGCAAGAGTCAACCCTCTCCTGAAGAAACCCACCCTCAACCCTTCTGAAGAAAACAACTACAGACCGGTCTCTCTTCTTCCCTTTTTGTCCAAAACCCTTGAACGTGCTATCTTTAATCAACTCTCCTCTTATCTCCACTGTAACAACCTCCTTGACCCCCACCAGTCAGGTTTCAAGGCAGGCCACTCTACAGAGACTGCTCTCCTTGCTGTCTCTGAGCAACTCCACACTGCTAGAGCCGCCTCTCTCTCCTCTGTCCTCATCCTTCTGGACCTCTCTGCTGCATTTGACACGGTCAACCACCAGATCCTTATTTCCTCCCTTCAGGAACTTGGTGTCACAGGCTCTGCTCTCTCCCTTCTCTCGTCCTACCTCGATGGTCGCACCTACCGGGTAACCTGGCGAGGATCTGTGTCGGAACCTTGTCCTCTTACTACTGGAGTTCCTCAGGGTTCCGTGCTGGGTCCCCTCCTGTTTTCGCTTTACACAAACTCTCTTGGCGCTGTCATTCGCTCGCATGGCTTCTCTTACCACAGCTATGCCGATGACACCCAACTAATTCTCTCCTTCCCTCACTCGGACACCCAGGTGGCGGCTCGGATCTCTGCCTGTCTAACTGACATCTCTCAGTGGATGTCCGCCCACCATCTGAAAATCAACCCCGACAAGACTGAACTACTTCTCTTTCCCGGAAAAGATTCGCTTACCCAGGACCTGACAGTCAACTTTGGGAACTCCGTACTAACGCCCACCTCGACCGCTAAGAACCTCGGCGTCACACTCGACAGCCAACTCTCCCTGACTCCCAACATTGCCGCGACAACGCGATCCTGTAGATACACGCTCTACAATATCAGGAGAATACGTCCCCTTCTCACTCAGAAGGCAGCGCAGGTACTGATTCAGGCTCTTGTCATCTCCCGCCTGGACTACTGCAACTCCCTCCTGGCTGGTCTCCCTGCCACCGCCATTCGACCTCTGCAGCTCATTCAGAATGCAGCAGCTCGACTGGTCTTCAACCTTCCGAAATTCTCCCACACTACTCCACTCCTCCGCTCTCTTCACTGGCTACCGGTGGCTGCCCGCATCCAGTTCAAAACATTGGTGCTCACGTACCATGCTGTGAATGAATCGGGTCCAGCTTACATCCAGGACATGGTCAAACCCTACATCCCAGCCCGCACTCTCCGCTCTGCATCTGCAAAACTACTCGTCCCTCCCTCACTGAGAAGCAAAACACTCGACTAGGTCTCGACTCTTCGCTGTCCTTGCGCCGAAATGGTGGAACGAGCTCTCTGAAGACATCAGGACCGCAGAGAGCCTTCACATCTTCCGCCGCAAACTAAAGACACACCTCTTCAGACTCTACCTCGACTAAAGACTAACAAATTGTAGCACTTAAATTGTACTTGTAACGTCACTCATCTATAGCAAATTGTAAATTGGCTTATTTGAGGAAATTGCACTTTCTTGTTTCTTGTTCTCCTGAGTTTGTACCCTATGGTTGAATGCACTTATTGTACGTCGCTTTGGATAAAAGCGTCAGCTAAATGACATGTAATGTAATGTAATGTAATGTAATGTAAATGTAATGACTGACTAACGTAATTGGCCGCTGTTTAATAATTAAGCAACAAGCTTGGAGAGGCCAGACTTTGACATCAATCATTTTCGGTTGTGAAAGGCAGCACTGCCTCAAACGGACGCTGTTTTAAATAATAAATAGTATGTATAAACATGTATGTGTCTAAGCTATGATGCACTGATATGGAACTCTGAGGGAAAATGTAAACAGGTACAGGACATTATGGTTCTTTACAGGACACCGCGTGACTCACTCTCAACCAATCAGGATGCCTGATTTCCTCCTACCGCTATTATAATTAAGGATAAAGATGGTTGTATTCTGATG